TATTTTTGGCATCCTTATACTATTTCATAGGTTTTAGAGATTTCATTAACTAGCTAAACCAAATTTAGGAAAATATTTGGTTTCTCAAGTATTTCTTTCATTAGAGTCTTTCTATTTCTCTCAATAGGGTTAGAGAGTTATCATTATAGTCCTTTTAGGGCTTTAAGATGGAGATGGGGTTTCATGGAGTAAACAATAAGGGATATAAGGATGTTATATAATTTCACGTATCAGTTTTCCATGAAAACCTGGCTTGGCATAAATTTGCCATTCTATTATGTTTGAGCTTCATAAAAAGCAGTGCATCACAAATGTGTGCTTTTTGTGTCACTGGAATGTACTTAATTTAAATAGGAAACTCAAGAAAGCAGCTAAGGACTCTTTGTGCCAAGATAAGCCATAAAACCTTGGCAACAGATCAAATAAAAATATCTGAATAACTGCCTTCCAGATAGAATGCCACAATAGTTTTTTGGTATTTTGTATAAAGACCTCTTCTAAGTTCAAATCCCCCTTCACTTTCTGCCCTGTGGAACAAAATACTGGCTTCCCTTATCAAAATTCTCAAATTAGTTAATATGGAGCCAAGCTTCAAATGTACCTTTACTAACTATTCCTTCACCTTCTCCTTTATAAGTTCTCTCTTTCTCTCCACATTTTCCTTTCTATAAGAGTTTTGAAAGGTTGTCCAGTAGTCCTAATCTTGAATCATCTTTCTATGTAGGCTTTCGGCCACCAGACACTGGGTATTCCACGCCTTCAGAAACCGTTTAGATGATGACATTATTATGATAGACATAAAATGAGATTCTCTCTCTCTCTGTCTCTCTAAATATTAAAATTTTCAAAGTAAACTGGCAACATTTTCCAGGTTCAGAAGATCACACTCATATTAGCAAATTGTCCCTAAACAAAGTACAATATTTCCTCTGGCACCTAAACTTCGAAATTTCGAACAGGGGCAAACTTATAATTTTATTTCTCCCCTCATCTTCAGAATATTTTTTAAAACCTATGACTCCATTTATAAACCTAAGGTCTTATTTTGCTTTTCTATGGAAAATTAGACGTCTTCTCTTTACCATAAAATTTTCTTTCTCTAAAATTTATGTGAATCAAACATATTAAAAAGTTTTTAATTTTTATTTCTTTTACATTTCCAGGGGACCAAATAGAAATCCTTAGGGCTAATCAATGCTTAATGTTATAAATGAGGAATCTGAAGCCCAGAAAGAAAGCAACTTGTCCAAGAACCCACATGTAGCTGGTTTACAGCGTTGGAGGCTGGTTTCTGCTCAAGTGACATAACTAGTAAATTAATGAATAGAGCTGAGTAATAGGACACACGCATCAGCATGCCTTTCATAGAGCTTTAGTCCTTCTTCCAGGTCAATGAGAAGGCTCTTAGAAATGTAATTAGGTGAAATCCAGAAAAGGATTTCACAAGCTTTCCTCTCTATGAACTAGTCTGACCACTAGGAGGCGCCTTCCAGGACAAAGACAATTGACCTGTTATTTTTGGATTGCCTGTGATGTGACGGGTAGACATGTCATTCACTCCCTGGATCTCCATTTGTGTTTCAGTGAGCCGAGATCTAAAGAAAGCTATGAAAGTCTCATTTTTATCATTTTTCAAAAAAAAAAAAAGTTTAATTTAAACTTTCGGTGTTTGCAAGTGAGAAAAAAAAGAGCATGGCTCCTTAGAACAAACCATATCTGCATAGACCTCTGAGGAGGTAACATTATATACAGGGAAATTGTGAGTCTAGAAGAGCAGGACACTTATGGTCCGCCCTTACCTTCTAACCACTCACTCCCAGCCCCCAACAGCTGAAATTTTATCCATCAGACTTCTCTCGGTTTTGTCTTTTTTTTTGGACTGTGAGACTCAAATCAGCCTTGAATTAATGATTAACATTAATTAACAGTTGATATTCGAAAGTACAGTTAAGTGCAACTTTGGCTAGCAGGCAAACTAAATGTGAGTTTCCCCAACAGCTAAGGCACACAAGCAAATTCGAGTTCTCTAGCTGTCTCTGTGTGTGTCATATGCTTGAATATACAGTAAAATAAGAGAAAA